GGGGGGGGGTTAAAATAAAGGAAAAGGAGGGAAAGTCCAGCCGGTGGAACTGGTTGACAACGTTGCTTTTGGGATATTCTTGCTCCTGAGCGTTTCACGTCCTCTTTGAACACAGCGTTGTGCTACGTTGTTCTTCCTTTCCATTTGCTAACCTGCAAGGAATAGCGGGGAGCAAAAGCACTCTGAAATTGGTAAAAACGTTGTGAAAGAGCTGTGCTTTGTTAAGCATTACTTTCTTCTTCTTCCTCTTCCTCTTCTTCTTCTTCTCCTTCTTCTTCTTCTTCTCCTTCTTCTCCTTCTCCTTCTTCTCCTTCTTCTTCTTCTCTTTTCTCTCTCTCTTTTTTTTTTTCCTCCAAGGCAGTTTCGGAATTTCATATGCTTGTCTGCAACTCATTGGAAATTATGCGCCATATTGAAAGTGACATATAATTATAATAATTACGGGCAATGAAAAGCGTGGCAATAATAGTAAATGTCCTACAGCTGTGAAGCTTCTGCATGAATTGATTTTAAAAGTGACTGACATTAAACCAGCTTGTGGCATGGGGGAATGCATTCATACGTAGGTATTTCTCGTGGGCAGTGGGGAAAGGGGATGGGAGGCGGGAGATACTGTTACACCGCGTTTTCCCCCTGTGAAGCAGCAGAAAACGGCATCCGAAATAGGCTGGGCTGGTCGCTCGCTTCCAGTCCCAAATCCCCGGCAGAAAAAGCACTTCCTTTCGTTTAATTCCCCAACCCGGGAAAAGTTTGCTATTTGCATGCGCGAGATTCCTCTTGGGTACGGAGCAGAAACGTTCCCCATCCCGTCCCGAGCAAAGTCAGCCCCTCAAAAGGAGCCATTGAAAGCGCTTTCAAGTGAAAATAAAAATCTGCTCTTTTAGAAGAGCTCGTTAGACCTAGCTGAGATTTCTTCCACCTTTTTTCCCCCTGAAATGGAGGCTATATTCCTGGAGCTGAGCAGCTACTCGTTTCGCAGGGCGAATTCCCTTGAAATCTGGACTTTTTTGCAATACACTTCACTTTGATTTGGGGATATGAAGTAAAGGACCAGATGTTTGAAAGATGCTAGGCAAATGTTAGGTATCTTTGGTAGATAAATGAGAGCATATTTTTGCCTGTTTCCTTGATTTATTATGTATATGGAGAGCGTTTCGTCATAACTCTTTGTACTGTAACAATAAAAAAGAGCGATACTAAAGCAGAATGTCAGCGAGGAAATACTATTGGTGAAAGGTCTTCCATTTAAGATTAGACAAAAAGAGGGAAAACCAGATTTATCTCTCCACTGTAACTTCCGTGTGCTTGGAGTTGCTTGTCCTTGCAGATTAGAAGACGGTGTCGTACAGAGAGGAGCAAGGCTTTCTTTACAACTCTCTGCTCCTTAAGAATGGCAAGTTCCCCTGGAAAAGGGAGAGATGGTGGTAATAATGACAGGGTGGTGTGCGTGAGATCGAAGACTTTGTTTTTATTAGAGAATTCCATGTTCATACCTAAGACAGACTTCAAACACAACACGTACAAAAATTAATAAAATATAACTTTTTGTTGTCGTTGTTGTTGCTTTTGCATCCTTTTAGGTAGTACTCGTTCTTTCAGTAGATTTTCCTTTAAAAAAAAAAAAACCAACCCAAAAAACTAATTACAAAGACCCCAGGGCTTGATTAATTTACCAAAGGAGGAAAAAAAAAAAAAAGAAAAATGAAAAAAAAAAACCTATGTCAACCGTGCATGAAACATTTTTACAAAATTAAGACAATAAACACCCCAAATGACATATATTGCAGCACTTCCATTAAATACAAGAGTTAGCAGATTACTAACAGTGACACCAAGGGTAGAAACACGGGTAGGAGTCTTTTTTTTTTTGTC